CAATTTACTACCCCATCATAGATGAAATGCCCGATCTACAAAATCTAAATCCCCATCCCATACACAGGGTATGCCAAACTTCCTCTGTTCTATCTAAAAAGGAAATTCCTTTCTTCTATCTAACTGCCAGCGAACCCTCGCCCGTCTCGACACACTCTGCGTACAATGTAACGATCTATCCGCGAAAAACTGCGGGAACCCACGAAAAATCTGTTCGTCCGCCCCGGGCACGGTTCGTAAGTATCGGGACTGCTCCAGGATCGGATTCGGTCCTCGGGCAGCGGAGCCGGCGGTACACGTCGGAGCAGGAAACGTCAAGCGCAGCCGGTCTTTCAGTGACAGAACGATTTGCAGCTTCCCTCGGCCGTCCATAACGCGGTAAATTTGGCGTGCGGTGGAAATGGAACGTTGGTGGGCGGACACGCAGCTTCGCCGGGCAATATAAAAGCTAACAGAGGCATCAGGCGTCATGGAACTATTTTCCTTAATCCTTGGATCGTTAATCACGCGCGAGATCGCGCGGAGACGGACAACGGGGAACGGGGTACTACCTGTCGGCCGACGCGACGTTTCAAGCGCGCGTTGAACGAGCCGGCGTAAATTAAAAAGTCTCGTTCCCTTTCGTCCTCGTCCCCCCCTTCTCGCTCGTTTCCTCTTTTTTCTCTCCTTCCCACTCTTTTTATCCCCGTCCCACCCCCGTGCACGCGCGTACGTACTAACGGCGTGCGTCATCCCGGTTGTTCGTTTTCTTTGAAACTCGTTGACATTCGTTGGACACGTTCTCGGTATATTAGTTATAGATTTCTTTCCTCCCGCTAAGCGTTCTCCTCTCCATCGTTCGTGTTTCTCGCGGCGTCTCCTGACAGGAGATCGTCGCGGTTCCTCTCGCCTGTACGTCGTTTGCCGATCGTTCGTTCAGGGACGCGCGTCGACGATCGAAACTTACAGCCTTAATCGACAGAACTATATTAAATACGCGATTTATCGACTAAACAGGCCTATCGCAGCGCCGCGCCGGCTCCTCCTTCCTGCCAGAGAAACTTCGGAACTTCAGGAATTGTTCTCTTCGATTCTCTGTTGTTTCTCTTTCTTTCTGTATGTACTTCTTTCTTCCTTTCTTTATTCCTTTCTTTCTTTCTTTCTTTCTTTAACGTCGATGAGTTTCGCGGACGTTCATTTTTAGTCTTTTCTTTGGCACCGTGAACAATCCATCCCCATCGATCATCCTTCGTCCGCTTCCGGCCGAGCTGCGATCTACCCTTATATTCTCTTAAGTAGCACCTTCGTTATTCGACTTTTCTTCGTTTCATGCGCGTGCGCGCAGCAGCAAGTACGTCGTGATTACTAGCTAAGGACTAAACGCTCTGCACTGGGTCGGGGGAGCTGATTTCGTAAGGTGCGAGATCGCGCGGTGATGCACAACATCTTGTGAGTGGAGGGCTGCCTGCGATATTAGCTTTTTAAATTGGATTCGTGAAAATGAATGTCTCTTATTGTGCAGCCTGCTGATAACACTTTACCTACCGAATATTAAAGCACTGTTCTCAAAAGTTGACTCGAAAGTTTCCTTTAAACGACAATTTTCAGATAATGATTAGATTAAAATACTCAATACCATCTGCTGATTCAAAATTGTAATTACTGCTGCTGTTGAAAGTTCCATTAAAGAATCCTTAGGCGATCATTCAACTTTTTTAAGCGAAAAGTGTCTAACCGTCAAAAAACTGAATTACGCTTAAATGCATTAAATATTAGAAAATCAATATTTTAAATTCAGTCTTTAATACTAAAAGCCGAATATCAATCTCTCGATATTTGCAGAAGTCAATTATTAATGTCCAGTTTCCAATTTTGGATATCAAAGCTCGAATTACGGTAGCATTCGATCGAAAAGTGTTAATATTTAACAAACTGCTCAATAACCGATAGCAGGCAATTTGTTAAGTACAAAAACAGAAATCCACAGGCAAGCATTTGAAAACGAGCCGCTGGTTGTGCATCACTGCTCTAACCGCTGTTCTTCGTCCGCCGGTCGGTCTCCCGGGACTTTCTTTGGTATCAAACTCGCCCTACGCTCGCCCGACGGAATCTGTACACTGTTACGGGGGCGGCAGAAATTCCGCGGAGTTTCCGACGGCCCCGTTTCCCCGCGCGGGATTCATGCGGGCGAAGTGTTCCGCGGACGGAACTTGGCACGAAGCCGCAGACGATCGGGAACGTTCAGCCTTTTGTGCTCGAGATGCCAACTTCGCTGGATACCGGTATCGTTACCCGCGATTCGTCTGTTTTTGAGTTGATAAGTTCACTGCTATTGTTGATAAGATCCTTTTTCAACGATCGGGTCACTCGATTTACCAGGGAATTGAGAATATCGTCAAAATTCATGAGATTCGAGATGGTTCTAAAAAGTAATTTTCCTATCGAAAGATTTGAACTCTTCGGTGTCTCTACTAATAAATTAACTAGTTTCGTTTCGCCTCGATTTGCGGAGCCGCTTTGGCAGTCAACGTGATTTCTCGGTTAGCGGGAAGTTCCTGTTACTCGTTTTCTTTACGCCGACTCGCGATTAATTGAAACCGACGTTCCAATCGTTCCGAACGGCGCGGATGGTTCAATGTACCCGTGGCAAATTGAAATTGAAATAACTGCGAACGAATACGTGGCAATCTAAGCATAATATATTTATAAAACGGGTCATCGCGCTAGATCTAAACCAGGAACACTGGGATTAACCGTGTTCGGCGGGTTAATCAAGACCGACAGAATTATTTCGTCGCGACCGACCGATACACATCCGGCCCGCTAAAAATACCGATGGAAACGGATAAAATCATCGGCGGCGTGGATATTTTCCACTTTAAATAACGCGAACCGCCAATCCGAGCAATTAACGTCAATGTTGAATCGCCGGGTCGGATGTTATCCAGCGTCGGGGTTCAAATAACGCGGCCAGCGAATCGAGGGCAAACGGGCTGAACCGAACGCGACGTCGCCGCGCCGCTGGTACCAAAATTTGAGCAACCGAAACGGGGAAACAGCGCGCGGGAATAAAATATCTCGATCGAAAACCCATCGCGTCCCGCTTCCAAAAATCACTTCGTAATATCGAGTCAACGCTCGTCATTCTTCGTTCGATTTCATTTCCGCCCGAACGAGTTCTCCCGGTTCCATGGATCACATTTTTTTCAATCAACAGCACGGGACTGACAAATATTTGGCCGGACGGGGATCAACCGATCAACCGGACGACGGAGGACCGACGCAAGCTATATATGCGATTAACTTTCACGAAAGTAAACGAGACTTGGCACTGGGACGGCACACGTTTGCAACAATTATCGCTGTAGTTCTCATTATCGTACTTATCCTTAATTAATCTCTATTTTAGAAGACGGAATAACGCGCCGGTCGATACGCCGTCGGTCCGGGCGATCGGCCCAGTAGATTCACCGTTTGATCGAGTCGACGTCCACCGGTGGGACGAGTTTACACGTTCACTGCCGATGACGTGTTCTGGCGTCACTCGGAATTTCACTCGACAACATTAACGTTTCTTTCTGTCGGTATTTTTCTTTTTTTAAATGTTTAGCGCGCGGTATTGCGAAGTTAACGGCGGTTATTTGCGGTCGTTCGATGAATCGAAATTCTGTCATTACGCTGCGACATCTTGTCGCGCGGAAAGGAATCGTTGGACTGCTCGGCAGCGGACGTGTTAATAAATTATTCGAAACGGGAGTGCTCGTTCGCTCGTAAACTCCGACCCCGGGGTTGACCGGAAGTCATCGACCCAGGAAGGATCGCGATCTCCGTGGCTACGGGACGAGGAAACGGCCGCGGAGCGTAAACGTCCGCGATCCTGCGGATTTCGACGGGTACCCGGTTGCCTCGCTCGGGACGAGAGAGACACGCGATCGCTTACGAAACCAGTCCCATGAGAATGAGCCGGCACTCTCGTTCTGCGCTCGCGCATTCACTGGACAATGTATCATTATCGCGTGTGCGTGTGTGCACAGGCAGCGCCGTAATGCGTGGGCGTGACTTCGGTGATGGATTCGGGCCACGTAAACGATGAAAAATGAAAGTTCAAAGGGAAGTTAGTAGTTCGTCCTGTTCGACTTTGTTCCCGAGCTGCAGTTGACCCTTTCGCGGTGCTATTTGCTTATTTAGGTTCGTGGAAATTGCTCGGTAATGTTCTGATCAGATCGAGCTTGTCTGAGATGGAATCGTTTCGGCTCGGGTTCTTTGAAAGTTGAATTCTTTTATTATGGAGCAGTGCGGAATGAACTATATTTGGAATTGTTCATTGGAAAGTTCATTCGTCGTTGTTACGTTTACAGCTGAGTAACTAGGGAACAGAGATTTTTGTCGTTTTGAAGTGTAGATGACTCCTGGAAGACAGAGACAACTGCAGAGAGTGAACAATGTCAGAGCAGAATGGACGTTACTATGAACTTTCATTTGTTCTTTACTTGTGTGGAATCCAACACAGAATCTATAGGTCACGATGCACCCTGTGGACACACTGAAGATATACATATGCATATGTTATACATACATTCGTGTGGACAGCAGAACGTGGACAATAACTAAGAAAGAGGCTCGAAGGACTGTTGTAGACCGTGCAACAAGACGCTGCTTCGCGGCTCACGACGACCAACTTAAATCACGAATTTCTTTCTTTCGTTTTCCACTCGTCGCATACTGTAGGAACGAAAATAGACGTTTTATTGCTCTGTCGCCGCGTTAAAAAGGATACGGGTGTTTTCGAAGGCACCGGCGACGCTTCCCGGATGGACGGCGCCGCCATGGACGACTGGTCCTTCGTTCGATAGCAACGTCGTGTTCACATTCCGCGAGGAAGTCGGTCGTGCGCGTTATTTTCCTCTCTTTCGCTTTGGGGATACCTCCTCGATGGATTCTTGTAGCCGGTTCATCAAGGAAATATTAAAGGAAATCAAATATTAACATACCCTCGATGAACTAAATAATACATCTTCGATATTCTATAATGGACACGTAAAGCTTGTCGCCTCGAATTTCGGAAATTACCCGACATCGCATGAATATTAGAATAAACCTCATCAAAGATTAAACGATCTCGCAGCAAGAAATAACCAATTCGAAAATAATTTACTATTCCGTGAATAATTGAAACATGGAGAAATCAAATCTTCGCTGAAACATAAAGTAAACCTCTAACGAAGTATAATTTTTAATCCGCCAAGCGCTCACCAGAAGTACCCGCGCGTAACGTTTTCCCACAGATCAATAACCGTAACTTATTACCGCATGACACAATGTACGAAGTCAAACCGACGAGAAAGGGGAAAAAAAGAGAATCCCCTGTAGCAACACGGGACTTCCTCGAGGAACGTCGACGTGCACGAGACAGCATGTCGCACAGAAAAACGATTGGTATTGCACACAGTATGCAAAACTCGCGTCGAGCGCGCTCGAACATATCGGTCTTCGATCCCGCCCGGAGACGAAGGGTATAACAACATCATTAACAACAACAACAACAACAAAAACGAAAACAAATAGGACAAAAACAGAACAAAAAACAAAAGGAACATAGAAGGAACCGTTTACAGTCGACGTTTGTCCGCCGCGTCGATGCGTTCTTTGGTTTCGAATCCTTATCACAAGTTAGTTACACTAACGTTATGTAGAAACCTTACTCTTCCATTCGTCTTCCGTTTCCTCGTCGTCCTCGTCCACTTTCTCTATCTTCCTCTCTTCGTTCCTCTCCTCTTCGCGAGCGTGCGTGTTCGTGGTAACGCGAGACACCTCGCGTTCCGATGCCGGGCGAAAGCCAGCCACGTGTTTCCCTCGTCGCCGCCGTCGACGACGAATTACTTCGTTCCCTTCTTTCCCCCGTAATTGACTCGTCTCGCTGGGCCAACGGCTGGATGGATAACGCGGTTCTCGTCTCGTCCCGTCCCAGTTCGCGGCGTTCTTCTCCCCCTTCCCGCCGTTTAAACCGTCCTAAAACCGGTCGGAGGGGAAAGAACGCGTGGAATTGTTCCAAGTTGAACGACCTCGGAAGGGTAGCTTCCGGCGGGCTGAAAATTCTCGCGGACTCCCTTTGATCGAATCGGGCTCGAAAATATATCCCACCATCGAGCCCTCGGATCCTTAGGAAACAACAAATCTCCTCTATCAATCTACCGTCGAAAACCACCCCTCAACCTCTTGGACGTTCTCGATGCAGCGTCGCTCTGGCGTTCATCAGCGATGCTTCCATACTTCCATTAACCACTACGTTTTAGTTGCATTGTTAAAAATTCGTAATCAGTAAGCGCGCGAATGGACTCGTTCCACGTCGAAACCGTTCTGTCCTCGAACGTCTCGAAGAAGCTGATGGACCCTTCGATGCAGTCCCTCGTAGAACGAGGGCGTCGCAGCTGGCTGCGACTTCCGCCCACGTTCGAGATTCATTCCAACCACGCGAGAGTACAAAATCTAATACTAGCGTGATCGTCTCAGCTTGCACCGAGGGGTCCACGGAAGCAGCTCGCAGCGATAGCTCCCAAATGGGGTGAATGCGTGACACGGATCGAGTTTAGCGTTAGAGGAGGAGCCATCTGGCTCCCGGACATCGCTGATCAGAGGGACGCCGATCAAGAGCCGCCAAGGGTGTCCCGGTACCGTGCCCCGAACCGCTTTCAGCGCTGGTGTATGTGCGTGGTCAGGTGTTTGGACAGGTAGTCGGCCCTGGCGAAGCACTTGCCGCACATCTCGCAGTGGTACGGCCTCTCGCCGGTGTGGATACGCAGGTGCCTGGTGAGATCGCTCTTGCCGCCGAACGCGCGGCCACAGAACAGACAGACGAACGGCCGTTCACCGGTGTGCTTGCGCACGTGGAGCTTCAGGTTCTCCTTGGACCGGACACACTTGCCGCAGAACGGGCAGGCGAACCGCCGTTCGCGCCTGTCCACCTCGTGGCTGCTGCGCGCCAGGCTGATCACCGCCTCGGCCGGCTCGGATCGGTCGTCGTCGACCGCGTTGTCATCCGCGTCGCCTACCTCGCTAGCGCTGCCACCACCGGCCGAACTTCTCTCGTTAGCTACCGGCGCCTCGGTCATCTGGACTTCGACAGCTTCCCCGGGGTTCTCTTGCAAGCTGGTCGTCTCCGAGACGCTCTCTTCGCGGGTGTTCTCTGCGAAGGTCCCTCTGGTCTCCTCTTCCCCGGGATTAGTGGTGGTGTCGCTGCCTGTTTCGATCTGGGACGGTTCTCCAGTGCTGGAGACTTGATCGCTGCGCTCTGCCGCAGCGGACACCGACATGGCGCTACTCTGGGGCTCCGGGGCCCGCTGCAGCCGCTCCAGCGCATGGTTCAGCCGGTGTTTCTTGAAGGACTTTAGATACCTGAACTGCATGCCGCAGACGTCGCAGGTGAACAGCTTGTCGGCCGGCAAACGGGCGCGATGGTTCTGCTCCCGGTGTTTCACGTACGCGGAACGGTAGCGGTATCGCTGGCCGCATTGCTCGCAGGTGAACGGCTTGTCGTCGCTCGCCTGGCCTGCGTGCTGCAGTAACGCGTGCCGTTCCAGTAGCCAGGCGGACGGGAACGTCGCCAAACAGACGCCGCAGCGACGCGCCAACCCCGCCAGACCGGCGAAACCGCCGTGACCCAACAGAGAACCGCATCCGCCGCTGCCGCCCGACCGCTCCACCAGCGCGCCCCAACCGCCAGCCTCCAGGCCCAGCGCGAGAGATACCTGAAATGATTCGGGGCGACGTTAGATCTAGGTGTCCCCTTCCAGGAATACCTTTTCTTTGTGTTTCGTCTGTGATTTAATGTTTGAGAAGAGGATTCGGGGTTGTTGAATCGGGGAGATGATGTTTAGAGGATCGTTTCACAAGATTTTCGATGATCAGCGAATCAGGGAATGGGCGGTCGAAGAGGATTGCTTGAGGGATTCGTTGGAGATCGGTTTCTGGAGGACTCTATAATGTTTCGGAGAATGTAATTGAATCGTGTCGAGATGAATTGGCAAGAATTGTTTGGATTCTTGCGTGGAACTTTAAGAACAGGTCCTATCTTAGCAATACGCATGTATCAAGAGAAGTATAAGAAAGTTGTAAGTATTAGAGAATTATAATATAAGCGTGCAATGATCATTCTAAGAAGAAGTACGTGCTTTGAAGATAGAAAGAACTTACCAGCGAACGGATCCCTCGATTTACCATTGGTTATTGACCTAGTAGATTAATCGAAAATCTTTAAACTTAAAAATCGCAGTAGCTCGTCGGTAATTGGAGGAACTCAAAGGAGAGGTTATAATATAATAAAACAATGAAATATATAATCTAAGCAAGCTCGCAGGTATTTAGTTCCGTTACACTACCGAACGCACAGGCGGGTAAGAACGATACACCAGACATCAGGTTCAATGACCTATTGTTAACACAAACAGTTTGCAGCTTTTATTTCACAAATCGTTAATTTACAACTATGATATGCATTCGTTCGCCTAAGAAACCGAAACGAAAGAACTGTCATTTTACACGAAACAAGGCGTTTACTTTTTATCCATAATGATCGGAACGCGTAATCCAACGTGGTGAGAGTCACGGACAAGTCTTTTCTCGGGCATTTCGTCTCGTCGAGATCCTGTCGATATTCGCACGTGGGAAACATTTTCAAAATCACTTGCCGCGCTACGCTGACGTTTCCGTTTCTCTCTTTCTCTCACTCACTCTCTCTCTCTCTATCTCTCTCTCTCAGCCTTTCTCTCTTCCTTTCTCTCTGTCTCTCTCACTTTCTCTCTCGTGAAAACCTTATACGCTATCTCGGAACCAGCAAGATGGACGAAAGATTCAGCCTTTAACGTCATCATTGCTTGTCGATTGTTCCACGAACGATTTTCCATTTTTCCACGCTTTTCCTCTTTCCCTTTTCTCTGCGTCGTCACGTTTTTCCCTTCTGTTTTTCAATCGAACCGTCGCCCATTTCGCCGTTTACGAAACTTCCCCTCATTCCAGTCTCGACTCGCGCACACGGGTCCGGAGCTAACAGCAGAAATTTACACATTCGCACGTTTTTTTCATTTATTCTCCGTTCTCGTGTCTTCCTCGTTCTCCCTTCCTTTCTCTCCCCCTTTCGTTCCCCTTTCGCTCGCTCTCACTCGCACAGAAATCGTAGCACGAACGCGTCATCGAGCACCGAGGGAGGACACGTTCTAGGGTGGTTTCCGGTGCACACGAGCTCTCGGGACATCATCCTTCCTCGTTCACGACTGCTTCCTAAAAATCGCGTACCAGCTGGGGAACGGTCGTCGAACGCCTAGCACGTTTTTCAATCGGTCGAAATAGAAAATACAATAGCAACAGCAGAATCTAAATTCCCAAATTTAAAACAATGTTTCAAGTCCAGCTCCTCTGTAAACACCGATCATCCGTTATCCAATTCATTAATACAATCACCAAACGATTTATCGCGAATCTTTTCTATCCAATTCAAATCCTCAAAACATCCAATAAGATATTCACTTGCTATTGTATACTCTCGAGTGCTCATTTCTATCGAACATTTGAAGAAACCACCAGATTATAATACGTATCCGAATATGGAATCATATCTGATCAATATATTAAGAAATACTCCCAACAGAATCTATGAAATCCCGCTCATCGTTCCATTAAGAGACACTCGACCAATCAAACAAGCATCCCGATCGTTCCTCAGGTACGCGGCCTAACGAACGCATGTCCATACGTTTCTCACGTTCTCCATGCTTCCATTTCCGTCTGGAGACGATAGAACCGCGGGAATCGCAAGCACAACGGACGCCGGAAATACGCATAAGCTATGATTTGTTTCTTCCTTAGTTTTCGGAGCACCATTTCGTTCGTCCTCTCCGAACTCTGCTTCCATCGGATCGCGTTTCCCGTTGATCAAGCTCGCAAACTCGATCAACGGCGAACGGGATCCTCTCGCCCAATCGCGTCGCGACCTCGCCTCGGGACGGCCGTTCACGGAGGAGTAAATCGCGAAAACGAGACGCACCGGTGTTCATACGTACCTATCATACCTGTACCCGCGCCGCGGCCCGGAGATCGCGCTTTGATAAACCGTATACGTGTTCTATCGCGACACACGGTATCTGAGATCGGCAAGGTCGGGCTAGAGTACTGAAGTATCACGCGATGCTTCGCGGATACTGGGTGCTCGTGAACTAAAACGATGGATTCTGGAAAATCCTAGGCGATGTAGGCTATCGTGCGACTGGGATACTGTTTGGAAATTAGCCCCTTGCCCTGCGATTTATTTCTCAACTGCGATCAATACGACTGCTTTGTCATTAATGATTCACTGGGAAAATGAGAAAAATTCTAGGCATATCTTATATCCACGTTTGCTTTGAAATATAACGATTGATAAGAGAAGAATAATATTTCACTAGAATTCACAGGAACTTAGTAATATTGATGTTTGTTAAATTCTGTTTGAAATCATCATCACGCGTTATTGTAGGGCAAAGGGTTAAGAGATAATGTCATATGATATTATCTGATAATATCTGGATGTTGCGATTTCAAGGATTTGTTTTCAATGGAAAGACTGTAACCGATATTCTTGGTTGATCGAATGAAACTTGAGATTATTGGAAATCAAATGAACTGTTAATTGTGGATTTCTATATTTTTATCCGATTGAATCGATTCGTAGAAAGTTAATTGGAGTATCAATTTCAGACGTCGATTCCTATCGTTCGATTTTGAAGGATAAAATTGTCGATTCGTTTAGCAAAAAGTTAATTGCCTGATAGGTCAATGAAATTGTTTACCGATGAAAATTGGCCGTTCCCCAAGCAACCGTTCGAGGAATATTTTGTCACCCTGTAAGAAATCGTGCGTGCTATTGAGCGACTTCAAACGTGACCGTGTATAATGCGACATGATTTATTCAAAGACACATGTACCGGATCGTAACATCGGTGAGTCAGATTGCAGATTTTTTTAACAAGATGAAAAATGAGAGGCAACTGCGGAATCAATGAATGTTAACTCCTCGAACCGCACCGCTGTATCTTGAATATGTATAACGCGGAAGAATGTTGTAATTCATGCGGATGAATTTATCTGACAACTTCGACAGGATAGTGAAAAACGATGTGTTAATCACAGATGATACCGAGATTGCTCTTCGCTTACACCGCATTAATCAAGTGCCGGTTCATTGCGTCACAACCGTCTCAGATAAAACCCTTCGCTGCGAACGGCGGTGGAAAAATTAATCGCGAGGCTCGCTGAAATATTGACGTAAACTGTACGTGACATTACCCGTGTTCCTTCCACGCGTCTCGGAAAACGTTCCACTGAAAAGAACTCGTCAACTGTTCACGAAACGCGCCGAAACACGTACGGCCTGAAAAATCCTTCAAACATCACACTTCGAGCCGTAAGTTTTCGAACTTCATTCGAACAACATTGAATCTTTCAAAATACTCGCCTTCGCATGATCTCAAATACCGCGTGACTCACTAACGTGATCTCCTAATTTTAATTTAGATACTTCAACAAATACTAAACAAACAATTACTCGAGGAGCCGATCGAACTATGATCAATCGTCGTAATTACTCAATTCTCTCGGTTACAGTGATAGAAATCTATACCTAAAACAATCATTGCTCTTCTAGAAACTAACACGAGCGATTTCAGAAAGAGAACGCTAAAAAATTTCTTGTCTTCTCGAGTCCACATCAAATAAGGCGATTTTCTCATGTTTCATTTATTCCAATCACGTCTACTTCTAACGCGCATAATTCTGTCCTCTCGCTACACCTGACACTTGCCCCTTCGGGCAACGTAGACAATATTAACTCTAACGCTATCAACATTCATCCCATAATCTCTTTACAAATCGTACAACGTTATTGCTCCTCTAAAAGTCGAAAACGCGTCAACGCTCGTACATCTGCCCGCAAAAACCGCCGGAAGATTACCGAAATTTCCGCGGTAACTCGCCCGGAACCCTTTGAGAAGCGGCAATCTCCGAGCGAACGGTTTCCCCGAAGCCTCCTCAAAGAAACTGCACGCCCTAAAACGTTGCCCGCGTGAACACGGATGCGTCTCGCGTGAAAGAGACCCAGCTCGCCCGCGGTCTCCGCGCCATTCGTGCGGCTGGACCGCCGCGCCGAGCGAGCCGGCCTACCGCTGTTCAACGAACGTTTCCGCTCGGTCTCTAATCTCCGACCGGCGTTTCCACTCGATAATCGAAGCGATTGGACGTCAAGTGCTGCTGGGAGGGAGGATGGGTGTCAAGGTGTACACACTG